CTACAATAGTTGTTTTCAAGTTTCATTCTGTTGCTAAAGTTTACATAGTGGGAGAAAGAGATTTGAAAAGGTTGTATATCTAAGTAATAAGTGTGACTGTAATAGCTAACTTCAAGATATATGAGTAGTAAAGATTCAAAACACCCTAATTCACTTCCTTATTTCTACAGTTTTAAGTTAAAACCTAACAGATACAGTAACAAGACAACTGTTATACTAGAGTGGAGTTGATAGGTGTCAGAAATTAATGTAGAAGGGTTCGCTGTTCATTATACATTTGAATAATTCCTATACTGAGATGGATTCCTTATAAAGGTTCTTCATAACAGTGACTAAGAGTGTGTGATAACAGATGGTTGTTGTGGTCTTCTCTTACGGGTATTTCTGTCTGTACGTACACTCGCTCCAAAAAGTGTCTTTATGGATGGATCCAATGAATTTCCAGATGAACACCGCGACTCCTGTTGTCTCGGAAGGATTGTCAAAATTCTTCTTCTTCCGTTGTGTTATATTGTCTAACACAAAATTGTAGAGATACTTTTCGAAGTGTGTGTGTACAATATTTGTGGGCATGTCAACTTCTTTTATTAGATTCTTAGTGTGTCAGCCTTTTGGACCTTTGGTCTTTAATGACAGATAGAGAACTCTTTCACCTGGAGGATTGTCCATTGTTCTTGCTTCTCATTATCAAACATTACATTATTACAGCTACTTCAGCCAGACCTTAAGATTGTTGGAGGAGGACCCCACTGTGTACTGTGTGAGTGCTTGGAATGACCAGGGTTATGAACACACCAGCACAGACCCGGCTCTCCTCTACCGTGTGGAGACCATGCCAGGCCTGGGCTGGATCCTTAAACGCTCTCTCTATAAGGATGAACTTGAGCCCAAGTGGCCCACACCAGAAAAGGTAAGTCTAAGGTGCTGAGTAAATTATAGTATGGCAGTGGCAGCCATGTTAGAAGAATAGGCCAGTAACGGATGAAGGAGTTTCTTAAGTGGAACCCAGAGATAAGAATAGACTAATAGATAAAGTACAACATGAACAGGAAATTTGGAGGTGCTAAATGTGCAAGAAAGTTCCCCAAACTCACTTTGATGGAAGCATTTGTCCACCAGATGTTGATGTAAGTTGGTGGTGGTGGTGATATTTGGTAATATACTGTATATTTTTTGACAGGTTAGATTTTAGATAAAGTGATAAGTTTCAGCTGTATTGACCCAATGGTTAAGTTTCTTTAATTTTTCTGATTTTTAGTTGTAGATAAGCTTTTTCCCATCAAAGTTCTGCCAGTTAATAACACCATCTCTCCATAACAAAACAAGAGGGCACATGGTTGAGTGCAGTGCCAGCCACAGTGACTCCATGTGTACCAAAAAAAGCTTAAGTCTACCATGTGCAGTATCTGTACTGCCCCTAATGGGCCATCAGGACTTAAGGGCCCACATTTTAAAACTAAGGAAGGATTTACACTTTAAGATCAGTTACCAATAGAAGAATTGTCAATGGGATATAAGTACAGCAGTACAGTACAGTGTTCAGACCCTGGGAGTTTCTTCCAGTGGTAGAATTATTCCATGTCATGATGATGGACATGGGACAGAATTCAAGATATCTTGGGTACCTTCACCTCCAAGAATACTTACTACATTATCAGTGCCACAGGGAACATGTGTACAGTGAGTTCTGCTATAACGCGTGTTTTGACAACGCGAATTGGCTCTAACGCGATTTATGAATAGAGGAACGATATTTGTATAACGCGAACGCTTGTTTGCTGTAACGCGATTTTTGCTTACTATTTCTCCAATTTTGTGGTATTAACTGTGAATATAGTAAAGAAGATTATCTCCAAGAAGCGTTCTGGTGATCGCATTCCCGGTGATGATCGTAAAAGAAAGGCTATAACACTTGAAGAGAAGCTCGATGTTATCAACCTCAAAATCACCCTTCTCCCCCATCAAGTTATATTCATATTTTTTCAAGGTAAAGTGTTTCATTTACTGTATGATTTCATTAATAGATATGTAACATTTATTTAGACTGTGCTATCCTTTGTGTTAGGCTAACTACTAAATTTTTTCGATTTCGAGTAGTAATCTGCACCTAACCCTATTTTCTCCATAAGCCCTGTTATTTCTATTACGCGAATTTCTATAACACGATGTTTTACAAGAACACAACTATCGCATTATAGCAGAACTGACTGTACTGTATATACAATTATGCAAGTTTAAAGAGTTACTTCAGCTGTACAAATTGAATATGTTGGTTTCAGAGATGCTGTGTTAGACAAGATATGGGTGAGATGTACTCTTGAGTGTGTAGCATACGAGTATATCAGATGGGTGAGACTTAGCATGTGTGGTTTACTTGTATCATCACACAAATATAAAAGAAGTTAGTTTTGGTTCTAATACTACTTCATGCCTCATTAGTAAGTAAAAACACTTGTGCCCAATAAGTTCATGGAAGAACTGTTATATTATATGGAATAATTATTTTTCAGATGTGGGATTGGGACATGTGGATGCGTTTAGGCGAGGTGCGGCGTGGCAGAGAATGTATTGTACCTGATGTTTCTCGCACCTACCACTTTGGCTCATCAGGACTGAACATGAACTCCTATTTTCAAGACACCTATTTTAAGAAGCATTCCTTCAACACTCTGCCTTATGTTGAGCTGCGGGACCTGGACAGGTGTGTGTGTGTGAGGCAAGAGTCTATGTATGTATGGTGCAAAAGAATTTTCCAGTCTTTTTTTCATTTATTTCCTTTTTGTGTTTTGTTAATGAAATAGAAAATTACAGTTTATTCCTTGAAGTTTATCTCGCACGTCTAGTTAACTAAGCAGAAGTCTTGTGTACAGTATACAGCACAGACTAATGTGAAACATATAAAATGGTCTGAACTTTTATTACAGGATGATTGTTTACTATTGTTGTTATTTTATTGACTTTTTAGCTTGAAGAAGGACGCATATGAGGAGTTGATAACAGACATGTTACGTCGGGGAACGGTGCTGGACCATTCACAGAATCCTTGTGAAGAAAACTTTGTGCCGGACACCACAGGTCACACATACCTCCTCTTTATTCAAATGGACCACCACAAAGATTATTCCACCTGGCTGCAAGTAGCCAAGGTCAGTGTTGCCAACATGTTCTGATAGTTGAGATAACTTATGAACTTAGGAGATTTACATGTAATCTTAGTAGTACAATATGCATCACAAGCTAACTGGTACACGGAACATCAAATCCAAGTCAGATGACAAAATCATAACTGAATATTAAAGGTCAGGAACAGCAGTGGCTATGTTATACACACCAATAATCTTGTTTACTGAGCTTGAGATAATGTTCCAGTTTACATATAATGTTAGCATTATATAATGTTTACAGTGCTTACGTATATGGGACCTTGACGGGCGAGGTTACCACCATGGCTTGTGGAGACTTAACATCAAATCGAACCCTCTTCTCATAGTGGGCGTGCCGTTCTCGCAGTATTCGTGAGTATTATTGTCAAGGTGCAGTGAGGTGTCTTAAAACCATGGTTAAAGTATACTGTATTTTGTATCAATCTAACCTTTTCAGTTTTCTTTTATGTATGTGAAGTATACAAAGATTTGACGGTTAGAATGTGATCTAGCCCAAAGAATGTTAGTTTGTTGGAAGTGCAGTCTTCTGTGTTTGCTTGTACAATACAGTATCTAATAAGTTACAAAAAATATGGGGATTTACTGTACTGTATATATTAAGTTTCTATTCCAGTGGTTCTTAAACTTTTTGCCTCGTGGGCCCCCCCGATGCAACCCTTGGTTATTATCAAGTGGGAGGGATGAGCAATCGTGTACAAGACTCTTTAAGTTCCTGACCAGACTTTTCTCTCTGACCGCTCGCGACCCCCTTGGAATCTTCTGGCGCCTCCCAGTTTAAGAACCACTGCTCTATTCTGTGTATAACAACATACAAATACAGAATACAGCTCCATTACTGTATCTGTAGCCTTCAAAGACCATAATGTAAATGCATTACAGTAAACACATGTTAATATTGAATACAGTACATTTGCATCAAACAAAACTAATAAATTATACAATACATTTATTGATAAAAGTTCAACAAAAACATGGAATTCATCTGCTGACTAATTTATTCCTTTTGAGGTTAATCTTAATATGATTTAGTTATCACCTTAAACAAGTTAAGATATATCAGTATAGGTTAGGTTAGTTTAGGTTAGGTAAGTTTATTATTAACTGATAGTAGACATTTTAGGAATATGTGACATTTTCAGAGTAGACATAATTGTATTACACAGAAAGGGAGTAGATGAAATGGGAACCCACACATAAGCAAAGTAGGAATTTGGCAATACAGTAGACCAAATGGACATACACCTTTTACTGAACCCTATAGGATGTTGTCCCTATACAGAGTGCTGGCAGCTTCCTGGGCTCTTGCTCTGGGGCTGTGTCAAGAAGTCTTCCGAGAGGGAATATTTCTCATCACTAGGTTCTTCCTCTTGGACATAATATGGGGCTTCCAAGATCATTCACTTGTTTTCTTAATAATTATTTTTGTTACTTTAATATTTACCATAACATTTTATATTTACAGGTAACCTTCTACCATATACAGTATGTGATGACAATAGCTGCTGGTTAAATCTTTCCACTCGGAGACGTTTACTAGAAAGTAGTTATTTGGGGAATTATATTTACATTAGTTTTAAAAGTAAAAAGCTTAAGGATCGTCTTATTTGCAGGACGTTCAAGCCCACAGATCTGAAGCCTTTATTTATGGAGGTGCCGGATAAGGAAAAGGACAAAACTAAAGTGAAGGAGAAGAATTTAGTACATAGATAACAGTTGGCTGTGATGGTATTAGAGCCAAATGTTCCAGTACTATACCATTGGATGTCCTGTTGTTCGTGGTCCCCTCGTATACGAAGCCAACGCAAGTGCAGGAAAATACGACAGTGCATCCCCAAACAAAGTTTAGTCACAAAAAGAAGAGAAGTGACATAGAACTCTAAGAAATTTATGCTTTTATTCTTTTAAGTGGAAAAATATCGTACTGTAGTATTGAAAAATTAAGAGAAAAGTGCTAAAGTATTTTTATTATATTTGATGAGGGCGATACTATACAGAGACCAAATTCAATATTAAGTGAATGAACTGCCCTCTGCTAGTGGTAACATAATCGTGTTAAATTTTTTCCATCAATATTATTTAGATATTGAAGTTATGATATGTACTGTAGAGTACATTTGCACTGTACAGTATTGTTATGTGAACTGAGTTGTTGTGAGAATGTGTGAAATGTGTTGGGGAAAAACTTATGAAAATCAACCCTGAAAATTTTATCTTTTAAGACTCCATAATGTTATTAATTTTTTTAATCGTTTTTGAGTTTTGATATAATATTTATTTTATCCAATTTAATATTTTTCTCCATTGCAAACACCACGAGCACTGTGGAAGACGATGGTCAGACTTAAGAGCAACACAGACTCTTACTTAGTCTTGAACCATGTCTCGGTGCTTGAAGGACTTCAGTCACCATCAGTAATATGGGTCACAAGCACCAAAAATATAGTTATGAAAGTGAAATAAGGAAGAAATGTTGCCATATAATTTCCCTAATAGTACCATTTAGTTGTTTATTATTGTTTTATTCAGATTAATGAAATTTGTGGGGATTTTGTACTGGTATTTACCACACTGTTTACTAGTATGTACATACCATTAAATGCCATATTTATTGTGTGAAAACGAAAAATAATATTGAAATGTTAATTTGTGCTTGATCGCCAGTGACCCATAATGAAACTTGTTTTTCATTGTCTTTTACAAATATTTGAGTACACATTTTGAGTGTTTCAGTACATCAAACTTTTCAAAACATACAATAGTCATTTTGGTACATATTTACTTATATTTTGTTTTGTTTATTGTTCAGGTATGATTAAAGAAGAGTTGTAAATCATTAAGTGTATGTAGTGTGTGACTCCCATAGAGGTACATTAACACTGAACCAGTCAAGAGTAAAAAATGGAATGCCTTAACAAATATTTTGTGTACATTATCTTACGTGGTTCAAAAATGAGAACTGAATTCAGATACCAAAGTCATTCCAGTATGAGAAGTGTTCTCTAATAAACACTTAATTGTCAAGCATTTAAATGTTTGCTTTAGTATGTATATGGTTGTTTAAGTACAGATGGGTAGAGTGTAGTAGTGGGGAATGTTCCATACTTACTTTATGTTGTACTGTATATATATATATATATATATATATATATATATATATATATATATATATATATATATATATATATATATATATATATATATATATATATATATATATATATATATATATATATATATATTTTGTTACTTTTATCTGCATTGAAGAAATGAGTTGCTGGTTAATGGCTCCAGTATATGAAGGTTGTTATTATGTCTTCATAATTCTTGTTTGTGTCAGGAAGTTTGAAAGGTGTACAGTTGTTAATGAATACTGTATTTGACACTAACTTGCCTTGTTAGATGAATATCCTGAGAGGAATGTGGGTTAATGTGCATTCAAGAATGAATGAAGTGAATATTTTGTACATTAACCTAGTGTGACTTTGCCTCCTTTGTGCTTGTCATCTAAGGTGTTGCATATTAAACCTTGAAACACTCAGATCTTGCTGTTGCATGATCTTGATGCCTATTTACCAGAAGCTGAAACAATTGCCAAAAAGTTTTCCATATTGAGTCCGGTATGAAGGCGAGGCGGTGATCAGGTTTTCACATAAAAAAATAAATGAAAAATGTAAGTACAAAAACTTTTGGTAGTTCAGACTTAATTTTCTTGAAATTCCAAAAATTATTGACTATGTGAGGTTTCAAGTATTGTTCACTACCTGGCACCCATGTCCAGGTTCATATGAACCAGCTTGGAAAAATTTGAGATAGTTTTGACGATTGTTGAGTGATTCATGAAGTCTGTCCAAGATATTGATCAGCCAACACATACCCACAGCTTCAGTGGTTGCGAGGGGTGTTTTCAGTTTGTTATCTGCTCGTACCTTGCATATACAGTACAGTACAGTATCTAGCTTGTATGTCCAGTCTTTTGTTTGCAAATTTTTTGTTTTATTCTTTGGGTGATCAGTGTCAGGCTATAATGATTATGCGAATATATGTTTTACATTACAAAAGTATTTTAAGACACGCATAAACACACTACAGACGTTATATCAAAACATTCCTTTCTTTATTTTCTGGTCATTTCTATTTCATACAAGACACAGGTGTTATATATCCACTGCTCTCCCACTTGTGTGTAGATGACTGGCCGGGGTTATCAATATGCTCTATTCCACCATCACTAATATCACTTTCTCAGTCCCACCAATTGTGGCCAGTTACCATCATCAGAAACTCAAGTTAACTGAAGAGATTTTGGTCAATTATTCCTTTATATTGGGGATCTGGTGATATCCCTCGAGTGTCACATTGTTGTACTGTACAGTACTGTCCGCTCTGACGGCTCAATCAAAGCTGACCAGCAGACGTGCACAATATAAGAATAAGTATGTGGCAAGGTTGTGTGGATGGTAATTGAATCAGTATATAGCTTTGTTTAGTGGCTGGTGCAAATGAGTTTATAAAAAATTTTGGCTGTACAAAGGACCAGCCACAGTAAATGGAATTTTTTTGTCTATATATGGGCCAGCCACAGTGAAAATGTTTACTGTACTGAAACTGTTTACAAAATGTTGAATAAAAAGATGAATTTTTTCACACAAAATGTGGTCCAAGTTATCAAGGTTGTACTGTCATGGTGTAGGAGTCAGAGGGGTGTTACAGGATGGCGAGTCACTGGTTCTCTCTCAGGTCTCACACAACACAATCTTAATAGTAAATTGCCAAGAATTACCCATTCCTGTCTTTCTTGATAACTCTTCCTTATTATCATTTCATGTATTGAGGCAACATTATTTTGCAGTACAAGTAGAGTACAATCACTAAACTTATGTAATTGGTAAACCAACACAAGGATTTCTGACATATTTTGGCGAATATTTGGGGTCTGATTGTGTGATGACATGTAATTTTTTTGTCTCCAGTCAAGAGATTGAGGTTGTGTCAATATCTTGTAATATGAAAGAAATCATTGTGGTTATAGTTTGAAATAATTTGTGTTTTAGGGTTTCAAAGCATGAACTGGCTCTTAGAGAATCTTAATTATTGCATTTATTAACCTATTAGTCTGTTTGAACTTTTTAATAGATGGTGTGAAAATTGTTTGAGTGTATGTGATGGTGTGATTGAATTTTTGCACATAAGAGGTTTTAATTCATCTTAGAGGTTTGTTTCTATATTAAACACTGTATATTGTGTCAGTAGAAATGTTATGCTTTGTAGTCAATATATTTTGATCCCAGCAGTACTGAATATGTTATACCTGGTGAGAAAATGTTGACCAGTGAAACAGAAGTCCACAAGTGTTCGTGGTACAGCGGTAACATGCGAGTATCTCTCCCCAGTATGTCCAGGGTTCAAGTCCTGTTTGGCCCAGACACATGTGAGAAGGGTGTTACCCAGTGTGACCTTACCAAACATCACAGGTTTCCCAGACTCTGGTTTCATCCTGTACTAACACTAGATAGACCAACCGCCCGAACAGCTAGTGAACTGGTAAGTGGTGAAGTGATAAATAAAAATAGATCTGGGTATCATGATGCTGCTAAGAATGACTGACTGCTTTACCTTGTATATAGTTAATAGTGTATGGTGTTAGTAAAGTGATGAAAGCTGAAAGTTAATAAATGTTCATGTTTTGTAAGTTTTATGGGATCACCTGAAGATTTGTCACCCAAACTTCACCTGATGATTAAGTACACGCTAATGCTAACCTAACCTAACCCCCCAGGTATCATTAGTGTGTTTAATAATAAACTGGGGTGTCTTATCTTCTGGTGATCCTTTTCATGAGGTGTTGTAAAGGTAACTGAAGGAATAATTGTCTTAATATCTAATGAAGCTGTTTATTGGGGATATAATGTGATTTAGTAGTCATTGGTAACTACTGTCATACTAAGTCATAGTAGTAAGGCGTTGAACATTAACTCGTGCTTCTATAAGTTACCGGTATGTTAAGTGTTCTGGCAGGTAAGTTGACTCTCTGGGTTGTACACTACGAAGACTGGAGTGAGTGATTACCTTTAGGGAGTATCTTTATATTTGTCACACTTTGTCTGGCCGAGTTGATTTAGCTCTTTATTTAGTATTTGATTTTCTCGTCAAGGCAATATATGGTGATGTGTGACGTAGTTGGAGGGAATGATGGAATATGACGATTCAAAGTTTCAGTTGTAAATATTAATGTCCACACTAAAGTTACAGTTATGCTTATATATTTTGTTGGATTATTGTGATCATGGTTGTACTTTACAATGTTAAGTTATATGGTTTCTAAAAGTAAAATTTTCACTGATTTTTAGCTTCCTAAATTTAAACAGTAATATGGCAGTAGAATGATTCTTTGTTGTTAAATATATGTGAACTTACCAGAGTTGTCTCTGAACTATGAAACATTTTACAAAGAATCTCTCTAACACTATCAGTGAACAGTTAGTACAAGATTGTGTTCCATAAACTTGTGTTAAAACTGAAGGTTGTAGAAAATTATTTTTAATATTGTCATCATAGAAATGACTACATTAGCCTTGAGGCTTCAGTGGTCAATAGTTGTCTGGGTGTCCTCAACCCCACACATTACTGGCCAGTTGGTCCCTGAACACAACTGAACTAACGGACTCCTAATATTAATAAAAGGATACAAAGCCTTGTTCACTTACAAACCAACCACACTGCTGACATGAAATACATACTGTACAGTATTTTAATAAACAATACTCTATTACTGAAACAAAATTACATGTGGCTAATGTCTTGACAGTAAAATTATTCAGTTATTCACCTAAAATTGACTTCCAGTCACTGGCGACCTTGGGGAATGGTGATGCCTTCCTCACCCCTCCCAACATGCAGAGCTCCACCACCACCACTGCTAGCTGATGCCACATGTTCATTATCATTGCCCCTCACTCAATATTCCACCAACATATTCCTCTGATGTCATTATCATGTGCTCATGTTCTTCCAATGCTATATTTGTGACCAGAGGATATTGCTGGCAAATTATGCTATACAGTACTGTATACACTTTGATGAATTTATCAATATAAGTATGGTGAACCTCTCACTGTCGGTAGTGCAGGAACAGTGGCAGGAGGATGCAGTAGTGCCAAAAGTGGCAGCTTTCAAAAGTAATGGATAAAAACCTGGCAGGTTGTCAGCACACCTGCCAATTTTTAATTGGAAAATGCTGGTTGTGTGAGGTTTTCTGATACATGGATACTGTGTAAGTGGAAGTGCTCCATACTGTATAATTGACTAATAAGTGGAATTGTTCCATACTGTATATGTGAAAGTGATTCATACTGTTTAAGTGAGTGTTCCATACTGTATAGGTGGAAGTGTTCCATTCCCAAATTTTAATTTGTGAAGATAGTGATTATTATGCCTGGAACATTTCAGGAATTATGAGTGTGTATGATGTGACTCACCCATAATAGTTTCTTCTCACATTATTTTGTACAATATAGTGTTTGTTACTGATGTGCTCCTGCTAAATTTATTATTTGCTATTTTTTCCAATAACCTCCCAAGAGATTATGTTAATCTCTTCTTACTCAGCAAGATATATTGGATGGTAGATATTCATAGGTGTTGTCACATAAAGGATACCATCACTAGCTACACTTCCTTGTTGGAGTTGAAATATGTTAATGTGGATGTAATGTGTACATAGCTTATGAGTGTACGAGAAAACCTCTACAACTGTTGTGATGCAGGTTGGAAGATATGAAGATAGCTGCTTTGTTTGTTGTCTCTATATTATACCAGTGATACTTGCATTTTCCAAACCAGTGGCAAGATCATGTTCCAGTGGTGATTGTATAGCCAATAGTACTGTAATACTAAAGTTTAAGTATCACGTGTTTGGTTTTTTGAACTTTGTAGTAAAGTTTATTTGCAAGAAATTTAAAGTAGATCACAAATCATTCCACATGAGTTTGTCTTAGTTTTGTTTAAGATGATGCAAAGGAATTTTTTTGTCCTCTGCAGTTATGTTGTATCTAATAGGCTGTCATTTCCCTCATTGTGAATATATATTTAAATGTCAGGAAGGTGAAAAACACTAATGGTCTGCAGACCAAAAGAGTGTACCAGTTGCCCCAGTAAATATGTCATCTCACAGGTATTATCTCAAGACTTGAAATAGTGGGATCTCATTTTACATGGGTCTTGCATGCGCAGTTATTGCCTACATGGTTGGTTGAAATGTGACCATAGTTATAGTTTATACGGAAAGCCATTCATTGTTTGTTTTTATTTATTCATTATTATATTATCGTATCATCGTATGATCATCCTATTAGGGTGTATGTTTCATTATAAATAAAATAACATGGTATTTAATAATAGAACAAAATACAATATATAATTTAACTTCAAAATAAAATAAAAAGCTTAATCAGTGTTGGTGGTGTGACGGTACCTGGGCAGACCGAGGGAGGCATGACTCAGCAGCAGGTATACAAGTTTTCAGTAATGTTGAAGAACTCAAGGATGCTTTAATGAGTGCTGAGTCCAGCCTGCAACACAGTGATGAACTCCGTGCACAGTTAGACAGTTTGTTGAAACCCTACAGGCAACGTTACCGGGAGTTTAAATGCTGCCCCCAAGCTCTAATCACCGTCTATTATATGCTTTAACAATTCAAGGAGAATCCATTGATGGTGACCCTGCCACTCTGGAGATTAGTGATGAAGCTGAAGTAGCTTTACAAGTGTTTACAGTTGATTCTGAAAGCTTTGAATCCAACTAGCTTTTACCCTCTGTCTCGGACCCCCATCATCTCTCAGAGCTTCCCACACTTCCACTATTCGGTGGAGACGGAGTATTGCACAATTAACTTCCTTGGCTTTCTTAAAATATTTATTTAATAATTTAGCTGCAATTTATGTGATATTATGTGTCGTTTTTTGAAGGTTAAGTTGGTTACCCAAAGTCTTTCTAGAATAAAGGCCTGGCGAGTCCACAATACAGTCAACCCTCGCTTTACGCGGTCCCACATTCCGAGTTTCCACGTTTACGCGGTACCCTGCCGAAACAGGAATGCTCACATTCCGCGGTGCGTGTTCCCCTTTACACGGAGAGCAGCTGGCGAGCCGCGCCATTTTTGGATTCAAACCTCCCGCCATCTCTCCTGCCATCCGACATGTTGTGTAAGCTGCGCGAGCATGGTGCGCACAAGGTCGCCCATCATCAAAACATTACAGAGTTCTTCACCCGCCACCCACCACAGCCGGCCCAAGTCAGTGATAGTGATAATTGTAGTGAAGATATGGATTTATATGGACTTTGAGGGGTTTGACAAAGAGGCCCTGCAAGTCTCTATGGTGGATAGTGATACAAGTGATACAGGTGAGGGCCAATAATCTGCCCTCTGCCTCGGAACCAACCGCCCATCCCCGTGTGCCCAGCCATCTTTTCTACTAATGTAAGTGTTAGAAAACCTAATATTATTGATATTTCTCTTAATTATTAATTGTTTGTGCATACCATCATCAAGTTAAGATTATATTTTTATTACAACATAGTTGTGTGTCGTCAAAAAGTGGAGTTTGGGGGTCGGCCCGGACTCTATTTCAATTAATCCCATATGTTATGTTATTCACTTTACGCGTTCCTCACTTTCCGCGGCACCCTGTGGGTTACATTAACCGCGTAAAGTGAGGGTTGACTGTATAGTGATTTTAACACATGTTAAAAGGCAAAGCATGCACGGATTTCAGATGTGCGTACGTGTACCAATACAATATACCCATGTAAAATGAGACCCTACTGTAGTTTGTTGTCTTGGTAATACTGTATATAAATTTGTCTCATGAGGAATCTTCCATTATGAAATCTGTCAAATAGACACATCTTGTGATTAATTTACTTCAGCTGGTAACTTCACACAAAGCACCAGGGAGGGTAAGTTTGTTTTAAACATTTACTGTATTTCTATTTTTTTTTAATATCTTCATTATTTGATATATTACTTATGATATGCCACAGTGACAGTATTGTGGGTAATGACTATGTAACTTGTATTTGAAGAGTCTGAGGCTTTAAAAATGATGAGGAGGATGCCAGGAGGTTAGTGTTGTGTCTTAAGTGTCAATGATGAAAACTGATGTTGAACTTCCTAAAAGAAATACTGTATGTAGGAGGGCACAGGTTAGTTTTCCTTCCTATATTACTTGTATTCATAGAATTATTTAATGAAACCTTATCAGAATTATAGAGATTATTTTGATACTGTTATACAAAAGGTAAGTTTACAATATTAGGCTTTAGTGTTTGTAAAAATAACAAATGTAATTTGCAACAGTGCATTTATAGCCTCAGGGTTGGCTGCTTCTGTGGTCTTTTATTGGGTGTTAGTGGAGCACTTCAAGCTGTGAAGGTTAATTTGTAGAAGATTTTCCGTTAACCCTCTGGTACTCCTGGCCATGGTTGGAAATCTCACCCCCTCGCAGTCTTTCAACGCAGGTTGCATTGGTAGCAGTAACAGATTTTCCATTTTATTAAACATTGGGTAAATCGATCCAGACCCAAATTGCACCCTTAGAGATGCTTCTGCTAACCCATGAGGTTAGTGGAAGGAACTTAGGTGTTTCATAGGGCCGGTCCACTGTTCTTGTGTTTCTGCTTATGGGAGGAGGGCCCTCAGTGTGAGATACGGCTGAGCGATAGGAGTCAAGCCAGCACAGTAGAGCTTAGCTACTCAATTTGCGTCGAAAACCACGGGAGGGATATAGTTTTAAAAGGTAATTTAATGAGTGGTGACACTCTTAGAGGGACGGTGCTTTTATTTCTTCCAGTTACTGGTAATGGAGAATACAAACTATGATGCCAAGAAATGTGACATTGGTTACTAGAATAGGGGAGCCATGTTAACAAGTGAAGTACCTTGAGGGAGAGAAAGTTAAGGATGAGGAATTCCTCAGCTTTTGTTGTACTGCATCAGTGTTAGTAATGTTTTAGGTAAGTGGACAGTAATGATTTGTTTCATTATTTATGCATTTAAATCAGGGTGATCCATACAGTATCTCAACCAGTCTTATTATCACACTCCAACAGTTACTCCTACTAACATCTCTCATCCAAACACACGCCTTCAGATTGTTGTACTAAGTTGCCGAGCCCAATAGGCCAATGGAAACAAAAAAATGACAAATTTTGAGAATAAGGCCAAGTGATTACTGTAAGCTCTAAGGCTGATTTCTTTATTAATTACATTAGAGTATTTCTAATTGTATAAATCAGTTATCAAGAGGTCACAGAAAACTTGTTAATTTGGAAAATGTTGATAAAGGCAAAAAATAAACCCGGCAGTCTTAGGGAGCGGACGACTCGCTATTCTGAACACCTTCTCACTCATGGTCGTGTTATTGCACATACTAAATATATACAACACCTTCACCTGCTACTGCCTCAACACTTTACTGAGTTAACACCTTTACCTGCTAATGACTCATCACCTTTACCTTCTACTGACTTAACACTTTACTGAGTTAACACCTTTACCTGCTACTGACTCAACACCTTTACCTTCTACTGACTTAACACTTTACTGAGTTAACACCTTTACCTGCTACTGACTCAACACCTTTACCTTCTACTGAATCAACACTTTATGGAGTTAACAGATAATCTTTAATGTCATGTATGGACACTCCAGGATTTTTTAATATTATTTGAACTGCCAAAATTCTTTCCATGAAAGAAAATTCCCTGCAGTGTTTTATATTTTTTTATCTTATAAACTCTTTGTATTTACTTGATTTATTATGACATCACTGTACAATTTGTAAATATTTAGTTAATACATAAGGAATATTTTTATTTAAGAAAGTTAGTACAGTAGTAATAAAGGCCTAAGTTTGGTGCTGTTGTGATTACAGGTGTGTGAGCCCCATGTTGCTTCTTAATACTGTACATTCGTGACACCGCCCAGGTAGACCTTAGGATGTTGATCTGCCCGGCCATGACAAGCAGAGTCTAGTGGCACTTTAGTCGCTCTTTAACTTTCTCTTTTAGTTATATGTTTTCATACATTACAAAATCTTACCCAAGGTTGTGTTAAGATGAGACGTCTATTTTATGTATTATCTTGAAAAACAGGAGTAAGCTGTTCTCTTATATCATTCACTCCTCTAAAACACTAAATTGTCATTTCCTTCTATTTGTTGTGACTCGGCAGAAAACTAAACAACCGTGATCTTCATCTGTAAGATGCTGAGCTTCCAGGGATTGTTTATTAAATTTGTGGTTAATCAGTATTAGTAAAATTTTTGTGAGACATAAATTAAGCAGTATTTAAGGTAATGCTATACCTTGAGACTACTTGTGGTGTTGCTGACTAACACACTAGTACTTCAAGGAACACTCGGAGAAATTTCTTGACAAATCCTTCATGAATCTTCATAAAAATAAGTTAGCCAGCAACACCACCACAAGTTTTTAAGTTCTAAACACTGCTGAGAGTCCCTGTACTGTACTATAATCTGTAATGTATATTTATCCCAAACTGATCCAGTGCATCTGTTCTGTCAATCAGTTCAGGTGGCGAAGAGGAATTAATGTAAACAAAATATATGAATAAAGATTTTTTCTTACACATTATTTTTCATACCTTTATCAGAAAATTGGTATACGCACAGGAGACCTTGTTATCTCTGAAATAACTCGGGAGCCTTGGTGCCTGGAGGAGCTGTTAGGGTTCATACTGAACAAAATTGGCTCATTCCTCAGTACACGACAGTGATATCGTTACTCTCAGTCAGATTTTTCACAGAAAAATGTTGATCTGAGGACGTTAAAATGAATGAGAATTTCCGGTGGAAATCAAATGGATTTCCAATTCATTTCAGCTACAGTATGATATCTGTAAACAAATGCAATGGTAAAATTATACCTGTCAGTTTTTAAATTCAAAATACTGTAATATTGGTGTAGTACATACCAGTAAAGCATTCACTCTTATGTACTGGTACAGGTATCCCTCGAGATACAAATGTTTGAGGTATGAAAATTTGCTTATACAAATTTTCTAAACTGACACCACTATTTCGTTGCAAAAGTTTTCCTGCTTATACAAATTTCGGTTCTGGCAAAATTCAAATCACAGGCCCCAGGAGTCAGCTGGGGCAGCCACAAACCCCTTAGTGCTCTCCCTACCAGGCTGAGGTAAGAGTTATGTTTTGGTTATTTTTCAACTTACAATTTCAGGTACAGTATACTGTACCATACATAATTTTCTTCATTGTTTTTTATCTGTTACTTGTACACACAATTGTTAATACAGTGTGCAAACAAAACAATTATACAAATAATTATCACAAGATCAAAAACAAAGGGAATAAAAATTTCTTACATCCTGGGAATTGTGGGAGGGGTAGCACCGCAAGAAGGGGTGTGTGTCGGTATCTCAGCCTCCAGCCAAGCTGTGAGCTGCATTATTGTCATTTTTCAACTCGTATTTTCTACTGTATGTGATTTTCTTAATTTTTTTTTTACTCTTTGTACAGAATGTGCAAACAAAATTAAAAAAAAATAATTATCATAAGGTAAAAAGTATCAAGGGAGCTAGGTGCTAGCACAAGAGAGAGAGGAGTGGCATTCTCTCACGGCCTTGCTGTCTCGTGCTAGTGACAAGATTGCCAAATGGCAATGAAGTATTTTTGTCTTTTCTTTTATCTATTTTTTATTTATTCCTCACATTTACTGGTAGAGTATATATTATTTTATGTACAAAGAATAGCATCCATGCACAAACCATTCTCTGGGCAATGTGACATGTTCAACCGCGTAAAGTGAGGGTTAACTGTGTGTGTGTGTGTGTGTGTGTGTGTGTGTGTGTATATATATATATATATATATATATATATATATATATATATATATATATATATATATATATATATATATATATATATATATATATATATATATATATATATATATATATATATATATATATATATATATATATATATATATATATATATATATATATATATATATATATTACACTTTATCTTTGAAAACATTTGCAGAATAAGTGGTCAAAGCTAATTAAAACTTCCCTAAGTCAGACTACAGTATATAGAGATTACGTCAGTCCGACTTCACCAAAAGTATGACAAAGAGGTATTAACCTCCATTGGTGCTCCTTAATGTCAAAAATATCTCAAAGCTTACCAAATCCCTAAAGAATATAATGTGCTGTATATGCTCTATTAAAAGAAATACCTGTAACAAAACTGTTAAAAGAAATAATAACATCTGAACACTCCAGAGCACGTACCTTTTTCCATATGATTGCTGGAGCCTTGGTGAGTGGAGAGAACTCCTGCACTTTGGCTGGTATGACACATTTAACATTAAAGTAGAATATGTACAGTACTGTATTACACCAAACTTAATTACACTATACAGTAAATGTAGTTACACTAAACTTAAATTTAATGACCTATAATTCTGTACTGTACAGTAGTCAGTATTTAATCACTTAAATCACTGCTGGGTGCCATCACATTAACCGACAGTTCAGGTATCACAGAAAGATCAGTTGGAGACTGGTGTTGTACCACATGGCCAGTTACACTCATGCATATGCCACGGTAACTCAGACTGTGTCTGACTTGGATAAGTCCGACTTGGGGGAGTTTACTGTATATATACATTGGTGTATTAATTAACATGTACTGTAAAGTATAGTACAGTATCTTTCATATTGAGCACCACATACAGTACATATCAAACTGGTTTTCACCAGTGAACTGTTCCACAATACACGTGCTTCACACATTACACAACTGCCTCCAAGAGTTACCACACTTAGGAGAAGGAACCTACGACAAAACAAATCGGTAAAGTTGATGTGGAAAAAATCATTCTTTTTTGTCTTTTTTTCAGGTTGCTTGCATTGGTATGTGCCACAGTCACAGCACCACCACCTTCTATATACTGTACAGTACTTGGGTATTGAGCCAACTTATCTTGTTGGATATTCACCACTGTTTTGGATAGTCTATCTTATTCTTTTTACCTTACTGATTTTCTCATTTTTCTTGACATATATGCCTTCGTTTTTTCTCTTCTTGGGCCTACTTGGTCCTCAGCACTAACTTAAACTGCATACTGTTCTCTACTGTAGCTAGTTGTCATTTTGTGCTTCCAAAACTTTAAACTGACCTCTAGTGATACTGACAATAATACTGGGTAGTAGCTCAATACTCTGGACACTACCACTGTGTCAACAGATGTTTGGCATGTTTTTTTTAATTACTGGAGCCACAGTAACTTAAATAGACACACACTGGCAGTGAGGTCTATCATTTTAGAAGTACTTTAAATATAAGCCATTCAAAGTCATCAGAATAAACTTACAAAATGAATACCTGTAATACTAAAAGCTTCACAGGTGAGGGATGCCTTCATGAAGTTTCTGGCAGTGGTTTACATGTGGGTGTTGGCGTGTAGCTCACTGGCTGGGCTGTCAATACCCTTTGTATTTTTCTCCAGTGACACAATTGAGGTCTTCTCCTCTGAAGTCTTCCCATGTCCAGAGTTTCTGAAAAAATAACATATTTGTAATGTACTGTACTGTGTACAGCATAAGTTATGAATGAAACCCCATAGGTGGGTAGGATGTAGTTGAACAATAATGATCAGATCATCAGAAGTGGGTACTGTAGTGCAGGTGGAAGTCACATGATACAACTACATACTGTAGTATCTTACCCACTGTGTTTTCTCCATAATAGAAAGGTTCCTTTTGTACAGGCAAACCCCGTTATTCATAGCCTCGGTATTCGTAACCCCATTTATCCGCAATCAATTTATTGTTACCCATTTCCACTATTCGCAATGGTTGCCCCGTTTATTCGCGAACAAAAATTTTGAACCGCGCGCCTCAACCGTAGCGTAGGACTACGTGTGTATGCATTCCTCCGCCACACGTTCCCACTCGCCTCAGTCTGACATGTGCTGGCGTGTGTTTTGTGTGATCTCGCAATGCCTAAGCGACCAGCTACTAAAACTGCCAGCAATGTTGCTAAGAGGTCATGTGTGGCAGTTACGTTGGACGTGAAATTGGATATCGTAAAAAGACATGAACACGGAGAAGGAATGTCAGTGATTGGGCGCGTGCACGGCTTGGCTCACTCTACAGTGCATTCTATAGTTAAAAGCTCCGACAAGATCAAGGAGATGGCCGGGTCTACAACACCACTGACGACTACAAAGGTGACGAGGTTCCGTGATGTCTACGTTTAAAACTTACTTCACACACCTACGCACATAAACATTCAAACACTCAAACATGTAAAGTACCCCTGTATACTGTACTGGTAAACATATATGCCTAATAAACTCAGTTATTGATGTTTATTTAATATTATGCCCTTGTTTCTTTATTTATTTTATGTTCTAGATGTATTAAGTAAAACAAGTGTTAAAATCTGACGGCCGTGACGACCACGAAGCCCGTATCCCCCCTATTTACATTATTGTATTTCTTATGGGAGAAATTGCTCCGCTATTCGCAATTTCGATATTCGTAATTTCGTTATTCGCAATGAGTTTCATGCCAGTAACCTTTACGATAAGTGAGGCAGCCCTGTATACTGTACAGTATACTTTACTTCCATATACATATTTCTCATTATTTACTTTGCTTCAGTAAGACTTGCTTTTTCTCCTCAGAATTTCAGAAACAAAATGTTCCCTCTGCATTACCATGCAATCTGGGTTTATGAATATGCTTTAATCCTTGCTAAATTTTTTGCCTGCTGAATAACTTCCCATTTCTTATCCTCATTCTCTAGTGTGATTCTGAGGGAGCGAGGCTTATTCCCCTGCCTTTGTCTATCTTATTTACAAGGAAAAGGTTGAATACAGTAGTACTGTACTGTACAGTGCAGTATAACAAACCCGAAACCAGCCATGAAATAAATTATCTCTTATAGGAAACAAAATAATACTTGGAGAGCCATTTATTGGGTTCAGGGAAATAAGTGACTTGGTTCATATTGGTATGCCTGGCTCAAACTTGCCAAGCCACACTCATTCAACAGTTGTAGAGTTGACTACACAAACTTCTCTTATAACTGTTTTATACCATTGTGATGAGAATATTTACATCATGGGGATGGAAAATGCAGAGGACTAGTAATATGGCCATGTGTCTGTCATCCAGGGATGAGAAAATTTATCTCAGTACTGTACCTGGAAATCTCTCAAACCTGTTACCACCGCTCCGCACCAATTATTCCGGCTAACAGGTAAATTACTGTACTGTATGTATATAAAAGAAGAGGACCAGGTACAATCCAGACAAGTAATTAGGTAGGGGCTTTACCTATAGGTACTTAGTACATACCTGTAGAGGCAGTAGTGCTGGATGAAGAAGAAAATATCAAAGAAAACGGAGAGTAGACCCAGGCCTAACTTAGCTGGGTCCGTCAACACTGACCACCAGTCATCTGTAAGAAACACTATCAATGTAACATCACCATTTATCTTAAAGCTGAACAAATCTTCCTGCCTCGCTTCACTTATGTCCATAACTCTGGACTATAATGAAAGAAATTACCGATTACTGAATTCATCTGAGATCACTGTTGGTTAGACACTGTTCACAACTGTTGGATGCATGGACAGTCGGACGGTCAGATGGTCTCATAACGGCAATCATGCAAGCATAATTTTATGTCCTCCTTACAGGAAGGCAAGAGACAACTAGCCTAGGGAGCCTAAGACTGTGAAAAGGGTGGACCAAGGGATGACCTACCGTAGTTACCAGCCAGCAGGAACATTTGCAAGAGTGACAAGGAACCGCCTGTGAAGTCTAGGATCACCTGCCAGATGCTCCATCCTTCGGTACTCTGGCGACGATAGTTTTCCCATAGCTGCCACGAAGACATAGACAAGTGTGAGAGAGAAGCAGAGAAAGACAGTGGTTGAGGAAAACAGCTGTGATAGAGAGGGGCAGGGAATGAGAGAAAAAGGTTTTACTTGATACTGGGTTTAAGAATCAAAAGGTTCATGTACTGGAGTTCACCTTGAGAGATCACCTATGGGCTCACCTGGGGGGTGTACTTGATGCAGGTGATGGCCAGCTTGAGATAAGACAGCCAGTAGAGGAGGTCCAGCCAGAGGAGGGAATCAACTACAGGCACTAAGATACACCCCACCACCGCTGACATCACCATCAGCCCAGAGATGACTCGACACGTGGTCGACACCCGCTGTCCCGGACCTCTCTGTACCACACACAAGGTACACTGTTAGTTCTCTACACCACAAACACAATGTACACTGTTAGTTATCTGTACAAAACACACAGTACGCTGTTAGTTCTCTGTACCATGCATAAGGTACACTTGGTTATCTGTAACACACACACACATTGTACAGTTAATTCTCTGTACCATGAACACACGGTATACTGTTAGTACTCTATGCACACACACACACATATATTTTCAGCTTATGGTTGCTGTATTTGCTAATAAACTGTTTATTATTACTGTAGTACGGTCACAAATACAAAGAGGTCAGGATAATGTCTCAACTCCAGTGAAATCAAGTTGATGTTAGAATGTTTGATGTTAGGACCATTAGCCAAGGTGTTAACTGATGGTTAACTAAGTTACCTGTACAGGATGGACACTGACATCACCCCGCCTTTGTAATTTAATTGATTACTCGGTTTTCTTTATTTGCAGTGGCTTGTGTTTCTTAATATTCACTGGCTACTGTCTTTTTTTACTTTCATTGGTGGATGTTACTGAAAATTCATTGGCTACCATTGTTCTCTGTATTTTGTTGTCTCATGTTTATGTATTTTCATTGGTTACTATGTGTATATGTCTGTACAGGTGTATCTTCATTGTCTAATAAGATTAAGAGAGAGAGAGAGAGAGTAATACGTTAACTCCACCAGTCTTGGGAGTGTTCAAGGGCAGTGGGTGTGGATGGAGAGACTTCAATGTATGGAACCTGACATCAAGGACACACACACACACACAAAGCATGTCACAAGAAAGAGAATGACTCGCCTTTAACAATTCCAGGGAGGAAGTGCAATACCCTGTGCCAGTCAGCTAAAGAAGTAGCTGTGAGATCCATGTGTGGTAAGGGACCTGTCAGAATGTGTGTCTTTCTCTCTCTCTCCTGTCAGTTTGTGTGTCTATATCTTTCTGTCAGTCACTTTTTCTCCCCTTTTCTACCAGTCTTTCTGTCAGTAATAATCTCTCTCTCTCTTACTCACGTGGAGTAGGAAGCACTGAAGGATCTGGAAAGCAGTACACAGCACAGCATACAGTGGGAAGATGACGTCATTCAGCCTCACGTGTAGAAGACGTGTAGGGTGTCGTTGAAAGTACTCATTCTGTGGGTGTAGTACAGTACTTAGTCTATGGTTGTAGCGCAGTACTTATAGTCTATGGATGTGGTACAGTACTCAGTCTGGGGGTGTGGTGTAGTACTCAGTCTGTGGTTGTAGTACAGTACTCTGTCTGGGGGTGTAGTGCAGTACTCATTCTGGAGGTCTGTCTCACTTTACGATTTCGCCCAACACCAGCAGAAAACTACGTCCCTGTGCAGCTGGTCTGCGGTTCCTGGCTTACGCAAAAGAAGCGCAACCCCAGCCCGAGGCCCTGTCACCTGCTGAGTTAGAGCAGTGAGTCTGGTAGCATAAACCCAGTAAGGTGCATGCTGGTTTCTGTAAGGTTCTTTTAGGGGCCATGGTAGTGAGCATGCGGGGTCTCAGCCGCTACCCTGCAATAACTCTGCAGCCGCCAAAGCCACTATTGTCAGCCCTAGGTCTCATCACGTACCCTGATGGAGAGATCTTCCTACTCTCTTGTTGCTGTCAAAGGCGACGTATGGGGAATTAAACGTCTAAACGTTCTGCTCCTCGTGGTCTTCCCTGGGTTCCAGCCTTTCATGTGGAAAGGTCTCGTTTGCTAAAAGGGCGTTAAGGCATACGCGGCCGGAGGTTGTTGCTCCATTCAGCCCAATGGCGAAATCCTCCAGCCTCTCCCTCGATGCTGTTAAAAGGCATTGAGTAAAACAGTACAAGACAATACTGTCTTGTACAAATCGAGGCATGTTTTATATCACGCATCGCCCGCCTCCCAGCCCTCGCCAGCACCAAATGACAGTGAGGATGTAGGAGGGGTTGAGCTAAGGAAGAGGGGCTCTCATATACTATTATAATGGGAAAAAGGCCCGTCACCATTTTTCCCCCGACACCAGCAGAGTGCTACGTCCCTGCAGCCTGTGCGTGCTTCATTGCCTCTGCAAAAGAAGCATGACCCCACAATCGGCCCAGGGCTCTGTCACCTGCTGAGTTAGAGCAGTCTGGCAGCATAAAAACAAAAAAAAACAGTAAGGCATGTAGTGGGTTCTATAAGGTGAGCAAGCGGAACCTGGTTGCTACCCGCCAATAACACCGCAACCACAAGAGCCACTTTTGTAATCTTTGCCTGTCAGGCCCAAGGTCTCATCACGCACCCCAATGGCAAGATCATCCTACAGTACTCACTCTGGAGGTGTAGTGCAGTACATTATGCAGTCTGGGGGTGTAGTACAGCACTCAGTCTGTGGGTGTAGCAAAGTACTCAATCTGTGGGTATAGTGCAGTATTCAGTCTGGTTAGGGAATCAACCAATCAGATGAGGTTGTTCTATCAGTGTATACCTGTTGTGTATGTACACGGCAACAGGGGTCCAGTCTGAGGTTGTCAGTGTAGGCTGGGTTCCAAGTTTTCTCAGTCAGTCAGTCAGGATTGGTATTCATAGTGTCGTTACCTGATGCAGTTATAAACCAATCAGGGGTGATAGTTATCTTACAGAAACTGGCAACAACGTTAAATACCATTATAACTAACTAAATCTACAACCTTCACTCATTATTAGAAAATTTACAGAATTATGAGTTGTTTTATAACAATAACAAACATTAAGAAAATTTATGGAACACAAACACCAATTAAAAGCAAGTTAAGAACCATCACAAAGAACAAAACGTAGCATTAAATACAGTAGCTGCTGCCTGTCTCAAACTATAATAATGATAAGGATAACAGAGATCAAAGGTTCACTTCAGGGCAGGTGTGTGTGTTGTCGTACTGACCCTTATCTCATGGAGCCAGTAGAGACCCATGTTGAAGATGAAGTAAGAGAAGAACCCAATAAAGTTGAAGGTGAGGAAGTCGAAGCTGAGGCCATCCACGCTGTAATGCATACAGACGAGTGTCAGCTGATGTACAGACACCTACTACTACTGATAATAAAAATAATAATAATAATACTCAGTGAAACAGACGTCTCCTAGGACCTAGGAAGAGGTGGGGATCTCAGGGCTCTGATCTCCTAGGACCTGGGAGGAGGTGGGGGTCTCAGGACACTGAACTCCTAGAACCTAGGAGGAGGTGGGGGTCTCAGGGCTCTGATCTAGGACCTGGGAGGATCTTGGGACTCTGATCTCCTAGGGCTTGGGAGGATCTCAGGAGTCTGAACTCCTAGGACCTGGATGGGTCTCGGGGCTCTGATGTCCTAGCACTTGACAGTGACCTGACAAGTTCAGAATTCACTGTCAATTATTCGACTTACTGTGCCCTCTGGCTCTGGGGCCTTGAAAGAGCCTCTGGCCTAACATGATGACTAGCAGCATGAAATTCACTCGCTGGTAACCACAGAGTATTACCACTGTAACTCTTATTTATGATATTTTAATGTTTTATGAATTTTCCATAAAGTTTTATGAAGTTACATTCTGAAGTGTTTCTCTCGTTTATTGTCTCCTTATAACCGTTATATTAGTGAAAGTCCAGAGCTCTCCTAGACTAAACTTGCGTGACCTCTGACCGGGACTGACCTTTTCCTGCGCCAGTTGTGGACGATCTGTGGGAGGAAGGAGATGTCCCAGGCGATGGTGTAGATCCAGCCCAACACGTCCCCGGCTACCGTGATGGCAGGGTCAGTCACCACCGACACCAGACAGAAAGCTTCATGAGGATTCGTTCTGTCAAGGAATGGATCATCAGACACAGGTGTCTTTGTGTGTGTGTGTCTCACGAGTAGGGTGATCAGGACGAGGAAAATGCTGGACAATACAGAGGAAAACAAGACCCTCAATATTGTGGTTTTCAGTGGTGGTCTTTTTCAAGGGTTCTTACTGTTGTATGTCATAGATAAGTAGGAACAGTACACCGGTATTAAGTTATATCTGTAGATTTTCTTTTCTCTATTTCAGGGCAGGCAGAGAATATATGCAATCTTACACTTTAATTACACAGTATATCCAATTCTCTCTTTGCATATATGACATCGTTTAACTATTTCGTCAAGGGTGATGATATAATCGTACAGACAAAGTTTTATTTCGATATGTAGAGTCCTTCTGAATTAATTAATAATACGGAACCAGAAAGAAACCAAACTGCCTTGTGTATATAATATAGGTTACCAGTCTCAAGAGAGTAATTAAGAGCTTAAGGTGGACATGACATTTAAGTTAAGATGGAAGAGGGTTTAAGATAACAAGCATTTATAATGGTAATGACCCTGATAAGAGTTCAACCACCACCAGGAAGAAGGTCCATTATCACCAAGACTCAAAAGGAGGATTAGCCATGGTTCACATTCTCAAGGATTCGTATGTTTAATATTACTCTCGACTGAACTACTAGGAATATGTTAAGTGGTTGACTGAAGATAAAATACCTAAAAGTAACACCAGAATTATTATACCGAGACCCAACTCTAACGTTCACTTAGACAGTATTAAGATCATTTAACTTAATTTTGTCCAGTTAAGGTAGATTCTTAGTATAGATTATTCTTAGTAGTAGTAAAGATTATTATTATTATAAGTAGTAGTAAAGATTATTATTATTATCAGTAGTAGTAGTAGTAGTAGTAGCATTAGTATTATTTATCTTGAAACAGCATGGTGTAATTTTACCTTCTTTTTTTTCTGGACACGCGAGTGGGCTAGGACCAAGCAGCTCTATTGTTGCAGCGAAAAAAAACAACTTTAGTCACATCTCGGTTGTAGCACCGATCGCGTTATCACCATCACTCGGAACAAAACAATAACAAAGATGGCAGGTCGTCCAAAGGTGTTGTCATTTCAAGTTTTTTCTTGAAATACAATGTGTTCCAAATTCCACAACACTACATTCCTTCACTTTATCGAAAAGGGAAGTTTCAGTCTTTTGTCCAAAGAATTTGTGAAGCTTGAGAAACCACGCCGACTGGTCATGCTTTCTGGACGGAAACAAGTCAAATGAAATGTTATCTGTACTTTTTATTTTTATGTACAGTATAAATATTAGTCTAATGATATAATATTTGCAAACAATAAAATTCAAAGTTTACTAATAATTTGTTTAAATAAATTAATGTCTCAATTATAAATGTTATAAAACCTCAATTGGGCCGAAATGCAGTCAAAACTTGCCGAAAACTTGCCGTTTTCCATGAATGTCGAAAGCAGTTCCACTAGACAGCTGGGAACAAGTGAAAGTTGTGAGGATTTATCCTCCACCTTCTACCCCTCCTGAAAAACTAAACCTCCTGTCGCCCTGAAGTTTTTTGTTTTGTTTTTCACTTCTTCAGGTATCGAAGGTGTTACAAAGGCTGTCCTCCGGCCGAGTGGTGGCCTCATGGTTACCTTCGGTGACTGGGAACAGTCTGAACAACTTAAGAACGTGGAAATCATCAAAGACGTCTCCTTTGGGATGAAAATAAATTCCGACGACAACGCAATGTAAGGAGTTACCTCCCACGCCGAGATACAACACACGGACAAGAACGAAATACAGATACTGGAACTATACTGGAAGAAAAAATAGTCGTTGAACGTAAACTGAAGAGACCCGACGGAAAATCCACCTCAGACCTGGTTGGATTTTTCCATAAACTACCAGAGACGATTACACTGTTTGGGAATTCCCGTTATCTACACGAGTGTATATGAAGATAACTCGTTCATCCTGGGAGGAACATCACGGTGAATGGCGTCTTGTGTTGATACATAATTTTAAGATATTTCACGTGAAGATTAACCACCATACCGCTACCTTAAGGGTTTAAATTACGGTAGGTTCGGTTAGGATAGCGTTAAGTTAATTTGGTTTGCGATAGGCTACGTTAGATTAGCATTAGGGTAGTTTAGGTTACATTAGGTTTGGTTAGTTCAGGTTAGATTAGGTTTGGTTAGTTCAGGTTAGACAGGTTTAGTTAGCGTTAGCGGTAAATTTTATGGTGAAATAAACTGGGGGGCTAATCTTCAGGTGATCCAAAGGTAGATTATACTTGTGACTATATGACCCGCTGTTCAAGAGTGTCAAGGTTATGGTGCCAGTGAGTGCCAAGAGCGTCCCTGTGTTGTAGGTGATAAGAGTAATTACTTTATTCACATAATCTATCGGGTACGATGACTTAACCTCTTGAGTACGATGACTTAACCTCTTGAGTACGATGACTTAACCTCTTGAGTACGATGACTTAACATCTTGAGTACGATGTCTTAACCTCTTGAGTACGATGACTTAACATCTTGAGTACGATGTCTTAACCTCTTGAGTACGATGTCTTAACCTCTTGAGTACGATGTCTTAACCTCTTGAGTACGATGTCTTAACCTCTTGAGTACGATGTCTTAACCTCTTGAGTACGTCTTAACCTCTTGAGTACGATGTTTTAACCTCTTGAGTACGATGTCTTAACCTCTTGAGTACGATGTCTTAACCTCTTGAGTACGATGTCTTAACCTCTTGAGTACGATGTCTTAACCTCTTGAGTACGATGTCTTAACCTCTTGAGTACGATGTCTTAACCTCTTGAGTACGATGTCTTAACCTCAAGTACGATGTCTTAACCTTTTGAAAGCAATGTCTTAAGTAAATGGTACAAACACTTTTATAAACAAATGAACCTTGCTCAAGCCAGCCCATGGTCTCGGAAGTAGTAAGTAAGCGATCAGTTCAATATATTTGTCTGTCTGGCTCTCTCTGTCTGTCCGTCTGTCTCACATTCTACATTTAAATTGTTGTTAAGAAATGTTCACCTGTCTGTAGTGAGTTAGGTTGAGTTAGGTTAGGTGTGTTAAGTCAGGTTGGGTCGGGTTAGGTTAAGTTAGGGTTTGGTCACCAGAAGCTTGACCAACATACACTAACGTCAACAATATTCATCTAACATTTACACAAAGGTCACGCAGTTGTTGGTCTGCCCGCGGCGCCTCTTCTTCTTCCTCCTCCTCCTCTTCCTCCTCTTATTTCTCCTTCTCTTCTTCCTCCTCCTCCTCCTCTCTTCCTCCTCACATATATCTTAGTATATCTGTGTCAGCGATGCTTCCTTCATTTTATCTCATAACAAATAAAAATGTGTTGACAGTTTATAAATCATCTGGGAGGTAAAACGTTATTATTATTATTATTAGTAGTAGTAGTAACACTTATCATCATCATCATAGAATTATCCATATCATTTTCCATCTCACTTATCATCATTATCAATCAACGCTCACTACCCCACAGGTATATGACTACAGTATATACAGTACTCGAGAAAACTACAACAACAACAACAACAGCCACCTACACATGGTGATACGGCATTTGTGTCATCCTAACAGCCCATAAACCGACAAAAGAGACTAACAGTCACCACCACCAACAGTCAGTCACCACCATCAACCGTCACCACTACCAACCGTCACCACCACCACCACCAGGCACCAATATTATGTGTTATAGAGGACGCTGTTATCTCCTCGTTTAGGTGGACTGTGAGAGATGGGTAAATGATAACTGTTATCTTAAATGATATATCCGATTTCAGGTCTGCTCTCGACGGGATCGCATTTGGATCAGGGAAAATAAGGACCTCATCCTCCGAATACGAGGGCTAACATCCACACTTCAGGATGCAGGCCGTCCTGTGACATTCCTATGGATACCCAGTCATGTCGGTATCTTGGGGAATGAGGCAGCAGATGGCCTTGCCAAGACTGGCTGCAACAAGGCCACACCTGACTACGTTGTTCCTCGAACACTTTTACAGCTTAGGACCCAAATTCGCCGCAAACAGAGAGAAGCTCGGGAAGCAGCCATCCCCCTGGACTCTCCGCCCACCTGGTACGATGTCCTCCGTAAACTTCCTGACCTCTCGTATGTCTATGGGAAAGGGTCGAGGAAAAGGGACGTGATTGCTGCCCGTATCATCATTGGGTATGACTTTGCTTGGGAGATTGGTATCCTCGCATCCCCTGAGCAACGCTCTTGTGCATTATGCAGAAGACCCGACAGCCTCACCCTTATCCACTACCTCCTAAGATGTCCCCACACACAACGCTTCCGTGACGCCTGCTGGACCACCACTCCACGACCTCCTGACGGAGACACGATGATCCTCCCCATACTGGCCAGATATTATGTAAATAACATTGATTATGTGTTAAAGGAATATCCTTCCTTCCTTAGGCTTTAGTAAGCCCCTTTATAATATTTATACTGTATATACTTGTGACACTTGCCAGATGCTTCTGGTGTTATTGTACAGGGATACCTAGTGACAGCATTAGGATCCCGCTTCCTCTATCAAGGAATGAACAATTGGAATTGAATTGAATTGAATGATATATCAGTGTAACAGGTGTATTGCTGGTAGTGTGGAGGAGTCTCTCTCTCTCTCTCTCTCTCTCTCTCTCTCTCTCTCTCTCTCATACATTCTCAGAGTCCGTGGTGAGACAACAGACAGACATACACACTCCTCAGTACTATAGATAGATCACATGCTATTCATTTAGTACGATAGACAATTAATAAAAAAGATAGATTGCCAAGTTACTGATGTAGTTAACAGGTTACAAAAGTCAACCATAATGGAGTACACCAATTGATTATGAGTATTGTGAGGAAAATATTGACTCATAATAGTACAGATTATGAGAACCGTGAGGAAGATATTGACTCATTCTAGTACAATCTTTGTTTATTTGATAATATCTGTGTGTGTGTGATATATGTCGACAACCCCAGGAGCTAACAGGTAATATTACATGGTTAACTTTATCAATACGCTATAGCAGGTGTTTGGTGAGCCAGGTGTTGTTTGATGTTAGTAAGATTCCAATGTTTACAAAATTCAGATGATATATTCAATGGAGAAAATCGTTTTAGTGGGTGTTAGTTTAAACCATCGTCTTAAAGGGTGTTAGTTTAAACCATCGTCTTAGAGGGTGTTCGTTTAAACCATCGTCTTAGAGGGTGTTCGTTTAAACCATCGTCTTAGAGGGTGTTTGTTTAAACCATCGTCTTAGAGGGTGTTAGTTTAAACCATCGTCTTAGAGGGTGTTAGTTTAAACCATCGTCTTAGAGGGTGTTCGTTTAAACCATCGTCTTAGAGGGTGTTCGTTTAAACCATCGTCTTAGAGGGTGTTCGTCGTCGTTTAAACCATCGTCTTTAGTTTAAACCATCGTCTTAGAGGGTGTTAGTTTAAACCATCGTCTAGAGGGTGTTAGTTTAAACCATCGTCTTAGAGGTGTTTTTTTTAAACCATCGTCTTAGAGGGTGTTAGTTTAAACCATCGTCTTAAAGGGTGTTCGTTTAAACCATCGTCTTAGAGGGTGTTCGTTTAAACCATCGTCTTAGAGGGTGTTCGTTTAAACCATCGTCTTAGAGGGTGTTCGTTTAAACCATCGTCTTTAAGGGTGTTCGTTTAAACCATCGTCTTTAAGGGTGTTCGTTTAAACCATCGTCTTTAAGGGTGTTCGTTTAAACCAGTGGTTCTCAACCTTTTTCACTCCATTCCCCCCTTGAGGAATTTTCATCATCCTCGTGGCCTCCTTCATTTTTCTCCCAGAACAAACAGACAAGTGATAAAGACTAAATAATGATAAAGAAGGACAGATAAATAGGACAAGAGTTAGAATGGCAAACACACACACATTCACATACATAACACGCCCATGCACTCACGCATAAGGCACCCATACAGTCATACACAAACATGCACACAGGTAAACATTCACACTCAAGCTAGCAAGCTGAAGTGTACTTCCTGTAAGCAAGAACACGCCTCCTTTGACAAGCACTGCCCAACTTGGAAGAATGAGAAGAATAGTGAGTCATACCAATTTAGCACTAAAAATGGTAGGGTTATGTAAGTAAAGAATGAGTATGAACAACAATGGCACCAATAAATAAGGAAATAATTAATAAAGGAAGTGTACAAATATTTCACCCACGTAAAGCAGCGACCACATGAATTATGAAACAAAATAAGTAACACCAATTACGGAGTATATTATGCTTGAGTCAAGCTCAAACACTATATGGTTCAGAGACAATACACTCCACTGTTTTCGTGATGGTATCCCAGGCCAGACTGAGAACATTCGGTCCTATTCACCACTTGCAAAGGGATGACACACGGACGCGTAATGAACAAGTCAGTTCAGCAGCTCGGTCTAGCGCCTGTCACGCAGGCAGGGACTGGACCTGCGAAATCTTAAATAATCCGTAAAAAAATAAAAAAAATAGCACCAGAGTATGTAAATATTAAAATTGTATTGTCGTTATGATTAAACAAAATGACAAAAAAAGAATGAAAATTCTCTTCTGCCAAGTCAAAATAAGTAATACAAGTTTTGTTTAATTCAGATTCCCAACATTATTTGGAAACGTACAATTTATAACAGCTCGCCGTGGCTCCCCTAAATTCTTGCAGTGGCTCCCTTGGGGGCCATGGCCTTCAGGTTGAGAACCATTGGTTTAAACCATCGTCTTAGAGGGTGTTAGTTTAAGCCATCGTTTTAGAGGGTGTTAGTTTAAACCATCGTCTAAAAGGGTGTTAGTTTAAGTCATCATCTTAGAGGGTGTTAGTTTAAGCCATCGTTTTAGAGGGTGTTAGTTTAAACCATCGTCTTAAAGGGTGTTAGTTTAAGCCATCGTTTTAGAGGGTGTTAGTTTAAGCCATCGTTTTAGAGGGTGTTAGTTTAAGTCATCATCTTAGAGGGTGTTAGTTTAAGCCATCGTTTTAAAGGGTGTTAGTTTAAGTCATCGTCTTAGAGGGTGTTAGTTTAAGCCATCGTTTTAGAGGGTGTTAGTTTAAACCATCATCTTAAAGGGTGTTAGTTTAAGCCATCGTTTTAGAGGGTGTTAGTTTAAGTCATCATCTTAGAGGGTGTTAGTTTAAGCCATCGTTTTAGAGGGTGTTATATTACGTCATCATCTTAGAGGGTGTTAGTTTAAAGTTTAAACCATCGTTCTTAAATTTTTAAAGCACTAGGAGAGGAGGGGAGGCTACCGATAGAGACACAGACAGACAGAGATAGACAGACACAGACACACAAACAGGCAGCGTATAGATGGGAAATCCAACTTGAACGCAATACTCACTCCACCAGTTCAGAAGGGGAGGCCTTGAGAGAGACCGTTGCTCTGCCGTTGTGCGTCGTGTTGATCTGTATGTCCCACGAGTCGCCATCCGAAGAATCACACAACTCCATGGGAGGCAACTCCTCGGCTATGGTCTTGGTGAACTCGAAGGTGACGTTGACGCAGCCCTCCAACTCACCCCTGCACACACACACACACACACCCACGTTAGTAGGATACTCTTCACGAAACAAATTCCTCTGTATAACATTAAACTTGTATACAAATATTGACGTAGTAACTATTATAGAGGTGCAAATTATAGACATGTCTACCGACAGATGCATAATTATAAGCATATACATGTTTATTAATGATACGTAATAACCATAGACATCTAATTAAAAAAAAATTATAGACAAATAATTATATAAGTTTTTATAATTATAGACCAACACTTTATAATTATTGGTGACACAAAGATGTTGACATATACATTAATTATATAGGCATGTTATAGAGATTATGAAGCTTAGACGGAAGTGTGAGTGACAGGTGAGGTACTTCTGGGTTACCTGAGGGTGAGTATGAGGGAGTACGAGTTAAATGAGGATCCGTATGAGGGAGTATAAGTTACCTAAGAGTAAGTATGAGGAAGTATGAGTTGAATAAGGGTCAGTATGAGTTAAATAAGGGCTAGCATGAGGGAACATAAGTTACCTGAGAGTGAGTATGGGGGAGTATGAGTGCGTTTGAGTTCAATTAGCGTCAGTATGGGGCAGTATGAGTTACCTGTGGGTGAGTGTGAGGGAACAGCTGTCGCCCACTACTAGATTCACCTCATGAGGATCCAGAGTGAGAGCTGAGGCGTTAGATTTCGATGAGGTCTGGCTGGCTGTGAGGATATTATTATTATTATCATCATCATCATCATCGTTATTATTATTAGTAGTAGTAGTATTAGTATTAGTATTATCACACACACACACACACACACACACACACACACACACACACACAGATAATAATACCCTCACCTCACCTGATAAGAGATAAAGAAGGTGTTCAAGTACTGGTCGATAAATACTCACGAATGATAATATTGACAGGTGTTGACTGACCATCGTAATAACTGATGGGCCAGAAAGGTAATTACAGGTAAGCTTATTTTGCGTCACCTGAAGATTTGGCCCCCCACCAGCTTATATCGCTTTAAGATTAGTTATGCTCTAACCTAACCTAATTTTCCAGTACCCTAAGCTAAGTTAAAGCTTCCTTAGCCTAATCTAACCTAACCTAACTTAACGCTAACCTATCCTAGCCTCACCTAACCTAACTTAACCTCTCCTTAAGTAGAATTTGGGTTATTAATCAAGTGAAATTATCTGAGGGCTAATATTCAGGTAATCCCTATTTCTTTCCTAACGTCAACACTGAAAACTCATTAACGATAAGCTGATTACAGGTAAACCCACGTAAATCCAGGTAATCGATGGAGATTATTCGTTTAGGATTTGGACTCAAGATAAAGAAAGTGGACAGTAGTGATAATTTAATTTTTGGATCACTTGAAGTTTAGTCCCCCAGCTTATTTCATCTAATGTTTAAACACCCAAACGCTACCAAACCAAGGAGGCTATATTATGTTATGATAGTGTCAAGTGGAACACAACATGTAATGTGTGAGGGATCCTTATATTTCTAATGTCAAACACTCATTTCATACAGATCCAAGCAAGATTTATTATTTATTCAATCACTCAATAAGCTTCTCTTATAAACTATTCCAAAATGTCAAGTAAAATGCAATTAAAGAATTCAATATCACGAGAATAAATCGAATTTATCTATCTGTATGGCCTAGACCAGTCAAGTAGGTGCGATAATATTGAAGCACTTGTGATATCTTAGTATTTACGAGGACATATTCATGGTACTAACAATCTTTGGTAATACCTATCTGTCATGTAACAACAACAAATCTTAATACTAAAACTCTTCTACTGTAGTATTGTGGTATGACAGAAAGTTACGGTTTGCTGTCGTAATTTTTCGTTCCTAACCTAACCGTGGTTTACTCAGGCCAGTGGTTTTTTATAGTTTAGGTGAATTTTACTCACACTAAGATACAGGGTATGGCCCATAATGGTCAACATCAGACAAAGGTCAAGGTCAGAGGTCACCGAGTAAGGTAACTTTCCGACTTATGTGGAAATTTTTTGGGTTGAGGTTGACTGAGCGCAAGACCCACCACCATATAATGTACAGCCTCATCCTCTCTTGTGTAATTCATATCTCAATCTCATTAACATTAATTAACTAATATAGGATCGACCATATTAATATTAGGCACCCCAGTTTATTTCACCTCACCTGATAATTAAGCACCCTAGTGGTAACCAAACCTAACCTAATCCTTAGCATATTTCACCTGGTGATTAAACACCCCAATGCTAAATTACTAACCAATCCTAATCTAAAATAACCTGATCCAGGGATTTTATACCGGGTTCCTAATCTTTATGAGACAACTTGTATGGTTTTCTCATTTGCATATAAACTACGATAAATAGAAAACCAAGTTAATATACATTTTCATTGTCTTAAAAGTTTCCTCTGGCTGTTTTATGCTCTATTTGGTGATAATTGAGGTACCGTACTGTATAATAAAACCTCTGGCTTATTGATGTTAAAAATGGCAAAGGTGATGACACCTTGATTTAATGTAGTGATTCCTTACCTGCAGTAGTAGTAAGGGCGGCCATCATCACCAGCAGGTGAGACCCGAGGACACGCGCCATTGTCGTCCGAAGCACTTGCAGGATGATGCAAAGCTGGGATCCTTCTCTTTGGGTAAATGTGCTATGATTTATTTAGACTATTATTTTGTACGCTAGGTAGTTACTCGTGCACTGTATCAATTCAAATTTGTTTACTTAAAGAACACGATGCAGTGAGACTTCCTAGTGACGTTTTGTGTCTGGTCTGAGTGAAGACCGTGCCCGTGATAGTGACCACTCACTAGGGTGATACTGACATGCTAACGCTCACTCCCCAACACCTACTTCTCTTTTTAAGCGCGTCTTATCACATTTTAATCAGGTAGATATGATTTGTCACGTTTTTAAGGAAAAAATCCTTATGATAGTGTGTCAGGTGCATAAGTAAAAACCACACTTCAAGGTGTTAGGAAGTTAGGTAAGTTTCTTTGGTTAGGTTGGTGAGGTCTTCTAACAACACTTCTGCACTTTTTTTTCTTATCAACTAAGGTTGGAAATAACCACTTTTTAACACATTTACACAAACTACAACAGTGTCCACTATAAAACAGTGAAATTGCGGCGTTTTAAAAATCGTTTTTCTATGAAAAATTGGCGTCGGGTCAGTCGTCAATAATTCTCGACTTGTGAGGTATGGTTTGTACAGTATATTGAAGTCCGCGTGTATATGGACTGTTGATATATATATATATATATATATATATATATATATATATATATATATATATATATATATATATATATATAGGTAATTATTATTGATCTCCGAATATCGACTCACGAGCCAGCCATGGTATACTACGAGGACATCAAGGTGATCCGGTTGCGCCCGGCTGAGGAAACTTGCCCAAAACAACTCAACTTCCTTGTCCTAAGAGTTTTTTTTAACTCTGAAGGAATATGGCCAATTCCTACAGCTGCCGCAGTTCACCGCTATCAACGGCATTCAAGTGAAAAAGATAGTCCATCAGGGGGACAACCTGAAGCTGGGAGTGATCTCCCACGCCGAAATTGCCCACATGGACTCACAAGAAATAAACCAACTACTCGAGGGACAACTCTGCTGCCTCAAAAAGCTGTCCGAGACAACTGCCCTCACGGACACTACGAGACTTTACCTAAAGAGGCTCAACTGGCCTGGGAAACCGTGCCAGTGAAGCCCTTCTGCAGACCCAAACGCTGCTATAAGTGCCATTACTACGGACACAACACCAACAAGTGCAAGGCGCAGGAGGATGTACGCTCCAAGTGTGGAAACACCGGGCATCGCTACACCTTCTGCAGCAGGAGTCCTGTTCTAACCAAGAAAAGAAGTGCGCGGTCTGTGGCGGCCCACACTCCCTCACCAAGCTTTGTCTCACGTAGTGGGAGCAGTGCAAGGAGGCCCCCCTTTGCTGTAGGCAGCAGCGTTTCTGGAACAATCCACTCCTGCTGCATATGTTTAGGAACTCCATTGGCCACCACGTCTGAGCTCACTCGTCTTGGGTGGTAGATTTACATAACTTGTTACCTTAAGTATAGCTGTACTACTACACCCTCCACCACTGCTAGTACTCGTCACCATAATTACTACTGAACTCGTTACAGTATTACCACTACAGTAACGTACTCCCAACCTCCATTACTGTACTGTCATTCACATTATATTACAACATTCCTATACAAGAAACCGTTCATTGTTTAACCCTTCACTAATAGTCCTCACAGCTACAGTAGATTTATCTCCCTACAGTATATACCCCGGTACCCTTAGTAGGTAGATACACAAGGGGATACAGACGGGATATACTATAACACTATATTTAGCAGAAAATACATCAGATAAACTGAATTACAACTTCTAACTGGGGCTGACATGTGACAAGTTTTGTTGCTGTACAGAAGTTATATACACCAAGAGGGGGCCTCAAACTGTACAAGACAAAGAACAAATTAATGGAAAGTGGAAGCAAACCATAAATTGCAATTATACTGTATAACAAATACAACAAATAAAAAATTTGGAGAACAATTACAAGTAGTGCCAATGAACTTGGAATAATAAAAAAAAGAAACTGAAAAAACTGCTATATTAAGTACATTTGAGAAACAAACATACACTTGGAAATTTATAGTCAAATGCGAGACTGGGGGTAACTTAGGCATTATGTTATACACACAATTATATCAATGTACTGAAATATACAGCTCTGTTACGTCACCCTCAGACTGTCCCAGCTTCGTCCGCGCTCGTCCCGGACACTCGACTCTGGAGCCGGTGCTCTCACTCGCCTCCGGACTGACTGTTCATAATGCCTGAGATTTCTATCGTTATTTACAGAAGCTGGTCGGGCTACGGTGATTGACATTATGCGTATCGGGTTTATTTCTATATCTACAAACGTGTAAATGCATCAAGTACTCTTTTGTAAGTTTCCATTCATTGCACTGTCAATGGCGATTTTTGCAACTCTTTACTGCGAGAGCGATCTTACTGATACGATAATGCACACGATTCTGCGACGTCGGAGCGTAAGGGATCTCACGGGCTGAACACACTGAGCGTGCGCATGAGAGCCGTGGGTACGCCGGCCAGGTTGATGGCCTAAGTCATGAGGGTGTTCATGGAAGGATGGTCCATCCAGCGCACAGCGCCGCCCGGACGGTGGACTGGTAGGTGGTGGCCACGTCCCTCACCTTCACTACCACGTTCTGTGTCGGGAGAGGCGTGGTCGTGTGCCGCACCACCTGCTGGGTCACGTCCACCATGAGCAGCATCAGCTTCATACACGTCGACAGACACTGCAATAACGTGTCTTCGGATTCTGTGGCCGACTTGACGAATAACTTCGAGGGCGTTACGAACCGTCTCGATTCACTGGCGAGAGCCTCTCTGGCCTCCTGAAACTTTGCCTCGTCTTGAGTGGCGGTGCCGCTGAAACGCTGAGCTTCTGCACAGGTCGCTACCATCTCCGTCGGGGACTGACCCACCACTCCCGTAAAACGGCGGAAGGCATCTCTAGACGCCGGAGGCATCACTTCAATGACTTCTGCTTCTTCTAACGAATCTTGATCGAAGCTACCAGAGTCCGGGGAATCGTCCGGATCCGTGCCGTTGACCGTCTTGTTATTGGGAGAGAGTTTTGGAGACTTCTTGGTTCAGGCTGTTTTTAAGAGCCACGCTGGAATTATCCAGTCTGGGCAGTCTCGAAGCATTGGAATTTTTGTCGGCGGTTCGCACGGGACTTTTGATGCCGTTGGTGGTGGCCGGCGGCGATGCGGGAACTCTCCCAGCCGGCAACTGACTATTCTTGGCGGGGAGCCGAGGCTTCGGTTCGTCCGCATCGGCTGGCTGCCTTACGAGTGACTCTGGGACTCTTTTGGGCGGAGCGAGTACCCTCTCGAGGCAGTGCTGGATTTAGACCTGTGGAGGCCCATGGGCAGCCAGCCTCTTTGTGGAGGGCCCCCTCATCATAACTACCCAAGAGGGCGGGGTGGCGAGTGAAGCGAGCCTAAACATCTGGGCGCTGTAAGCCCCCCGGGAAAATTGTGAAATTTGAGCACTTCTTTGGAGAATTTTGAAGCCATATGCAGTTATATTGAGGAAATTAGAACATCGAGACATTTTTAATTAACTGTACATTTATTGAGTGTACAAATTCCCAACACAAACAGACACACACAAAAGTGAGACATGACTGGAGTCATTCATGGGGTTTCAAGTCGGTTCATAGGAAAACCAGGTTTTCATGAATTTCAAGGAGTAGCTAGCCTAATTTCTATCACGCTTCTTGCTGAACATAGTTTTACGTGATGGAATAGATAAACATGAATTTTAAAGAATGAAAATAAAAATAATCCAAATAAATAAAATATTTTAAGATGTGGAGGCCCCTGGGCAGCTGCCCACTTTGCCCACTCCTGAATCCGGCCCTGCCTTTAGGAGAAGTGGGACTGCTCGCGGGAGCCTTACCGCCGGTAGGTCTGGAAGGAGCCGTTAACTTGCTCGAAGGACGCAGACGGTGTGTGCCTGGCAGATTATTCGTAGGAGAAGTAGTTGGGCTGAGCTGTGGCTTGCGAAGTCTGGAAGGCACCGAGGGTGGCCGCTCCGAGTTATCTGGCGAGGGACTCCTTACGTGCTGGTGAACGAAGGCCTTTGTTCTGCATACCTGCCTTCACATTGTCCTGAGGAAGAGAAATTTTATTTACTAAAATTAACAGATAATGCTTCATACATATTGCACGCACGCACTCACGCGCGCGCACCATCAACTTTCTCCAGTTCTTCAATCATCCAAACTTATTAACATATTCAATTTTCTTTACTCAACCAACCACATCAACAGCACCAACCTCAATTATCATCCCATCCTGGCAAACACCAAACAATCTTGGTGACACTACATATCCTACTATAATCTTACTTTCATCAGCAACAACAACTCCTCTCCCTCACATACAGTACACTGCCTATAGACAACAATCAGTATTTATCTAATACATTTTCTAACGTTCCTACATTACTTTTCTAACGACTCTATCCGGGTCCTTAAATATCACAAAAACATTATCGATTTCATTAGATAATTTTACATACAAATTCTATGCTCCTTAATTTAAAAAGTGACCCACAATCTCTTCCAAGTCTGGTTCCAAACTCTTCTTCCACTAATACACTTTTCCTACCTTATATCTCAAAATCTTCCCTCTGTCATTCTATTGATTCTTTATTAAACATAATCAATACACTTTTGTTATTCTATTAAAAACAAGATTTATAACATCCCTATTCTGTATTTTTCTAGGTAAATAGACAGTTTCAATATGATTACTAAAGACATCCCATCTAACCGTTTCCTCTCGTTTAAGTTTTCTTTTATCACATTGAATCTTTATTTCTCTCAGTGTTAAACAGGATAACTCTGCCTCTCAGCTGTTACATTTACCAACTTCTAATAATAAAACATTTATCTCCCTCTACCCTCGTCGTTTTTTCATATTGTATCCATGCTACCGATCGTATAAAGAATTAAACACATCAGTACATAAAATCAATTTCTTTTCCAATTCCCAAAAATAGATAATATATTCACCTCCATCATTGCTGTAAGTTATCATCTGCTTCAATTCATTTAGCAGGACAGTAATGTAAAAAAAAAAAAAATCACAAAAATAATAAAACAAGGCAGGTGACCTCAAGACTGGCTGAGCTGTAGTTCATTAATGATGTTTAGAGATTTATTGAAAGTTTTAAGAGTAATTCTTCAGTAGAGGAATTCACTGGAGGACGACGTGAGAGAATCGTTACTGGAGGCTACGCTTTGTTTGGAGGGGGACCCCGGGGAGGCTTTGGCTTGGCTGACGTCTTCGCTGGAGGCCGAGGCTTTGGTGCTCGACTTCAGGATGGTGTTGTAACTGGCGTGACTCGTCATGTCGTCTTGAGAGGCAGACTTGGAGAGGTTACCTGTGCTCATAGATATACTTCTCTGGATTTTTGACGAGGGAGGAGAAGGCTTGGATTTCTTTGGGTTAGTCAGAGTGCCGGTTCGTGTGAAGGGCGTTCGTGGAGGAGGGGGGAGTTGGAGAGTCCTCCTATTTTCCCTCTGCCTTACTGGTTGGCACGGTCTTTTGGCGCTGAAGAGAAGAGGCGGTCCAGTTTCCCCCAGAGCTGAAGGTTCGTACTCTGGCCGTGACCGACGACTGCTTGGAGTCGCCGCTCTCCCAACTTCCGCCGGTATTTTTGGCACTCGTCATTTGTTGAGTGTCGAAACTTTTGAATATCTTATCATTTTCCTCTAATGCCTGTGCCAATTTGGCATGCAGTTCATGTCCTACATTAGAATTATTTGATCTCGGTAGCAACTGACGATTGTCTACGGAGGCACTTGAGGTAGGCGGACTACCGTAGGCAGTCCTGGGAGGAACTTCGAAGCGCCTCTGCAGAGATGCGACCTTCCCCGCAACATTGGCACGCTTGGCCATCGTCTCTGAGCTGACGTGCACCTCGCCGATGTCGTGGTCCTTCTCCCCGACCTCCAGTTCGCTGTTGTCCTCGCACACCATCTGTAACGATAAACCAATTTAGCTCATTTTTGTACTAAAAATTATATCTTAAAGTAAATACCTCCTACATCACTGTTTGTGATATACATTCAGAAGGAAATAAATAACAGCAAATACTTTAAGTAAAAACAAACATTTGCTGGTACGGCAGTAGTGAGTGTATCATGGGTTTGAGTCCTGGCTGAGACACACATGAGAAGGGTGTTATCCAGTGACACTCCCAAATATTACAGATTTCTTCCTGTACGAACACCTAACACTAGTGTTCACAGCAAATTAAAAAAGAACAGACCAACTGGCCCAGCAGCTAATAAACTTTTAAGTGGTGGAATGATAAATTAATAAATTAACAATATTCTTTTACTACAGGAGAAATCACAATAAAACTCAACCATTTTAACCCATTGAGTAACACATTTCTCCAACCTGAAAACACTGTCTGACATTACCCATAATAAAACACCTAGAGTGATACTCCTCCTTAAAGAGATAAACAACCTGAGAGTCATACATAACACCAGGAAATGTGATTTTAAATGGCCTCCCTGTTTTCCTAAGTACCGTATTGTGTCGTATAATACTGTACAGTATTTATTATAAACCCATAACTAATTATTACACAGTGCGGTAATCTTCTTACACTGTACGGTAAATCAATATCATCTATGAACAGAAACAAATTCATTTAGTTCAGACAAACACTTCCACAGTACACTTACAGTAATACAGTATTGCATTTAATTGTAGAAAATTAGATGAACCTCACAACAAATCACCCTACTGATTCCTTCTTTGGCTCCGTATAATGTCGAACGACCTGTTGTCCTTCTCGTCCGAGGGTGGAGGAGGCGGCGGGATAATAAACGCAGAGATGTCGTACTCGTTCCCCATCTTACGGTTCTCCGCGCACGTCTGAAGGTTCTGTAAACGGCATCGTATATACAGAACAATTCTCTATTTGTAAACAAGGGAATATCTTGGAGTTTCATGTACTGTATAGTCATCAAAATGGATAAAAACAGCAGCATTATAATGAATGTATAATCACTACACTACTTACCACACCTCCTTCAGGTGGTGGAGGAATGGTAAGGTTTGCAATGAAGGAATCTAGATCTTCGCCCTCCTCTAAGTGAATGCCGAGCTGGCGTAGGGCGGCCAAGGTGAATCTTGGATCCCTCGCTCCTCCGTTGCCACCCAAGCTTTTGTTGACTACCGCTCCTCCGGTCAGTGGGGAGAAGACGGAGTCACTGAAGACGATGCTGATATTAAGGCTGCTCGGGGAGGTGCTGTCCTCCGTGTCACTTGCTCCTGCTGGACACGTGTAAGACGAAGCTCAAGACCCAATGCTGGTTTTTTTGACAGTTACTTATCGTTATTTTACCTTATCCTTCACGTACACTTTTATTTATACAGAACACGTCCTTGATTTTAATGTATACAAGTTTGTTACCTTACAACCTGAGTTATAAATTTTTTATATCTGGTATGAATTCTACCACTGAAAAAATCCCAAATTAATGAGTCAAAATAAGTCTCTAAGTTAATATGTCAGTGTACGATAGATTGATTATTAAATGGCTATACTATAATAAACCAAATCTGGATCATTGGGACATTACAGTATAATCTAAATGGGAAAAGCATACGAGTGAACTGCAACTAATTGCAGGTGAAAGGAGCTCGTCCATGCCTGATATACTATGTTAGTGGGCAACTAAGTTAAGGTGTGCATGTGTTAGTTATATATGAAGGCAACATGCGAGGCTCTGGTGCTTCGGGCGACAAATAATATCATTTCTGTCATCTCGGTTGAAGCTCTTCAATGTGCGAGTGGTGTTAGTCGATGGTTAACTTAGCCGAGAAGAAATACCTGATTGGTGGTGTGTTAGTAGGTACACAATCTCCTCTCCTTTAGCCGATTGTCCGAATTAACCGATTTAGGGGTTAATATTGCATTATACAGCTATGTGTATGTTTATTTGAGTGATTGTTTAATTCAACTGTCTTTATGGTTGGTAAAACTTGTCAAGTCTGTCAGTCTGAATGGCATGTGTGAGGCCTTGTGTTTGTACAACCCCTAAATATATAAATATATAATGTTATGATAATTATCAGAAACACATAGGCATAACGAGGTTTATTACAAAGTGATGAAAGGGATACTGTACAGTGGCTAGTCCACAAAACATGTAGCCATGTGATTAACGGCAGCAGAGGGACGAAAACAAAAAATGGCAATAATTGCCTTATTTGTGATTAACGGCAGCAGAGGGACGAAAACAAAAAATGGCAACAATTGCCTTATATGTGAATAATGGCAGCAGTGGGGCGAAATAAAAAAATGGCAACAATTGCCTTATATATGATTAATGGCAGCAGAGGGGCGAAAACAAAAAATGGCAACAATTGCCTTATATGTGATTAATGGCAGCAGAGGGACGAAAACAAAAAATGGCAACAATTGCCTTAAATGTGATTAATGGCAGCAGTGGGGCGAAACCAAAAGTAAGCTACTTATTGTGAAATGTAAAGCAGTGTGACTGAAAACAATAGCCACCTGGTACGCCTGTACGATTAACGGCAGCAGAGGGACGAAAACAAAAAATGGCAACAATTGCCTTACATGTGAGTAACGGCAGCAGTGTGGCGAAAACGAAAAATGGCAACAATCACTTCACGGAAGATTAACAGCAGCAGAGTGGCGAAAACGAAAAATGGCAACAATTGCCTTGCATGTGATTAAAGATTCAGATTTGCCCCCGAGGGGGTTAATTTACTGGGCACCCCCTTACATCCTGTGCAAGGTGAAGCGTAGAAGCGTTTACAGCGCCCATCTGGGAAGTATGCAAAGTTCATACTTGCCTTTATGACTCGTACATTAAGGGCGTAAAAGCCTGAAGGGTCATAGGTTTTGTCAAGTTACATAAAGTGAGAGAATGATGAGTGTGTGGGGATAAAGTTTCCGGTACATTTCATCTGTTTATAGCAAATCGTGGCAGGTCCCTAATAATGTCAAGTGACAGGCCTCTGACTAGGACATGTGATTAACGGCAGCAGAGGGGCGAAAACGAAAAATGGCAACAATTGCCTTACATGTGATTAATAGCAGCAGTGTGGCAAAAACGAAAATGGCAACAATTGCCTTACATGTGATTAACGGCAGCAGTGTGGCGAAAACGAAAAATGGCAACAATTGCCTTACATGTGATTAATAGCAGTAGTGTGGCGAAAACGAAAAATGGCAACAATTGCCTTGCATTAAGGAAAACAAGACCACATAGGAGGGAGGGTGTATGTCCAGCATCAGGGTGAACAAGACGACACAGGAGGGAGGGTGTAGGTCCAGCAACAGTGTGAACAAGACCACACAGGAGGTAGGGAGGGTAGGTCCAGCATCAGGTGAACAAGACCACACAGAAGGGAGGGTGTAGGTCCATCAGGGGTGAACAAGACGACACAGGAGGGAGGTGTAGGTCTAGCATCAAGGTGACAAGCACTACACAGGAGGGGAGAGGGTGTAGGTCCAGCATCAGGGGTGAACCAGACCACACAGAAGGGAGGGTATAGGTCCAGCATCAGGGTGAACAACACGACACAGGAGGGAGGGTGTAGGTCCAACATCAGGGTGAACAAGACCACACAGGAGTGTGGGATGTTATAGGTCCAGCATCAGGGTGAACAAGACCACACAGGAGGGTGTAGGTCTAGCATGAGGGTGAACCAGACCACACAGAAGGGAGGGTGTAGGTCCAGCATCAGGGTGAACAAGACCACACAGGAGGGAGGGTGTAGGTCCAGGATGGGGGAAAACGCCGAATTTTCATTGTTATATTATAGTGGACACTGTTGTAGTTTGTGGTAGCTTGTTCAACCCATGTTATACTGCTTCCCCATTATACTTATGTTTTCAATTCCACTGTAATTTATGTATCTACTTATAATAAAATTAAAAATAAATAAATAAATAAAATAAATAAATATTGAAGTGAAAACCGTGATACACATTTTGAGATGTTCTTATTACTACCATGCTATTGTGCTATTCAAGATGTTACTAAATGTTACATAATACTTACTTGAGATAAATGTATAGTATATATCAGGTGCCTACAGGAGAGCTCAGGTTCTCAACTGGCTCAGCCATGTTAATATTGTTATTATTATCCACTCTGTATCTGTGTATTTATGGCTAAATAAACGGTTTTAATTCAATTAAATTAAATTCAATTTAACATTTGTGGGTATGAAGAACAGACCTAACCAACCAAACCAAACAAACCAACCTAACCTTCCCGGTATATTAAACAGAAAGAACTTACTATGACATGGTGAAATTTGAGGCATTTTCTGGACGTGAGATGATACGGCCGCATCAGCTCTATGCAGCCCTGGCGGGTTGGTCCTATATCGTAACTAGCAAGTCTACGTTGCGATGGCCAACCACAAGGAACCAGGGATTAACACCGTAGACCACTAACGTCAAACCAGCTCAACACTACCAGCAGTAGTCCTTAATACAATTCGTCGTCCACACCCCGGAAGAGGAACACCGTAAGTCTGGCAGGCTGCCAAGCAGACACACTTGAGACTCAGTACCTCGGTCTCATAGTCAGATGGGAAACTGGTTCTGAAACGGTGCTCACTGAGGTCGAGTAGCTTCGTGAAGCAGTTTCTTCTCTTGGTGTCAAGTTGGAGCAAGTGATGGTTATGGTGGTAGAGTGATGGGGGGGGGAGAGGGGCAGAGTCGTCACACTGTGCATAAACAGAGTTTTTAGGATAATTTATTTTCATAGAAAGTTAGGGTTTTGGTTCATACATAACATTTTTGATGGGTTGAAGACCCGGGATTTGTTATCTTAAAACATGGGAATATTTACCAACTGCCATATTATTTGTAATTTTGTTCTGTTTCATGGTACAAATATTAATAATTAGATATACGTACTTGTGTTTATCTAATATATGAGAAGGCTTATTACATACATGATGCTGATGTTCAGCATCTCTGAGGTCTCGTCATTATCTCTCCAAAGCTAAATAGACGGTAAACAGGAGCACTATAGGCAGGCACAGTCAGAATGATCGGTGGCAAATTCAGTAATAATAGAAACTTGACCTTGTTCTGTTGCCAGGTCTAAATTGGAGTCATGTCTGTTGCATGGGTCATCTTGCCTAAGAAATTTGACTGCAGTCCAGGAAATTTCTACCGATGGCAAATTAGTGGCTTAGATGACACATCTCCACTACCTTAAACATTTGTTCAACCACACCTGGAAATTAGCAAACAAAATTGAAGTCTCGAAATATTCCGGGTAAAAATTCGAAACCACAGACGTCCAAGACCGAAACTGAGACCGACACCTGAAAAACTGGCTTTGAGACCAAGACCGGTCTGGAGACCACAGATCAAGTCTTTTTGAAATTACTGTACTTTCTACACTCAATGATCCATGTCATCTTATCAGGTCATATAACCATCAGTATCAGCTTTAACTTGTAAGTAAAATTGTCAGCAAAACATGGCCTACTCACATCATCATCATCATTATCATCACCACCATTATCATCATCGTCATCGTCATCATCGTCATCGTCATCATCATCATCTAATCACAACAATATCATGTCACATCACCACCAGATTATACCAGCATCATTTCACCATCACTCCAACACAGCAACTTCCCTCGTCTGGTCATACCAACACTATCAGCTTACCTGGACTCATGACCTTTAACACCTAGAGGGAGGTCATTAGCCTTACGGGCGATTAACTGCGGCAGGGGGGCGATAAGAAGGAGTGGCAGCAATCGCCTTACCGGCGATTAATGGCGGCAGGGGACGATAAGAAGGAGTGGCAGCAATCGCCTTATGGGCGATTAACGGCGGCAGGGGGGCGATAAGAAGCAGTGGCACCAATCGCCTTAAGGGCGATTAACGGCGGCAGGGGCGATAAGGGAGGAGGGCAGCAACGCCTTGGCGAGGCGGCAGGGGACGATATCGCCTTATGGGCGATTAACGGCGGCAGGGGGGCGATAAGAAGCAGTGGCACCAATCGCCTTACGGGCGATTAACGGCGGCAGGAGGGCGATAACAAGGAGTAGCAGCAATTGCCTTACGGGCGATTAACGGCGGCAGGGGGTCGATAAGGAGTGGCAACAAGACACGCGGCACGAGTACATAGAGAAATTTTACTGAGGGAAAATCAATGAAGGCGGGAGTGTGAGCCTCTAGCATGGTGGACCTTCTGGCTGAGGAAATACTCCCTGACTCTGTGATTTACGTCATT